GGTCGCCACCCCGAGCACGCTCGAAGACAGTTTGAATGAATTCTAAAAGAGTAGTTTTGCGTTCTGTCGGTATTGTCAGAAATTCTTTCGCATAAGCATCGGGGTATATAATCATAGGAATGATAAGTTTCGCGTCGGTCCTCTGCAGTCTGGTCTCATACTTCAGTTCCTTAAATAGGTCCTGGAGCCAGTCTTCACGTTCTCTATTGCTGCGGACACGCCGTGGTGGTGGAGAGGCCACTCCAGCTGGAGCCGGCTCTTCGCTTCCAAGTTCTTCTTCCTGCTGCGACGATGTCGTCGTTGATGTTGATGATTGGGGACAGCCAGTGTCGGTATCAGTTTCCTGGCCTGTAGGGGATGGCTTAGGTCTTTTGCCGAGGTCATTTCTTTCCTTTTGGAGGTTTTCTTCTTCTGAGGAAACTGTGAGCGATCGCTTCATCGATGGTGTCTCGCTTGGTCTTTGGGTTGGTTCGGGGGCCTCTTTTGGTGTCTCCGATGGTAGGTCAGGGCTTGTTGATTGGACAATGGCTTCCGTGAAGGTTCTAGTGACAGTGGCCCTAATGGTGGGGTCGAATGGGCATTTATTTTTAAGATGTCCGTGTCGTTTGCATCCCTTGCAAACAACGTCTTCGCCGACAAAGATGGTAAAGTTTCTCTCCATATAAGGGATGTTCAGCACTGCAGGCAAAGGTGTCTTGTCCTTATTCTTAAAAACAATCTCCCGCCTCAGCGAGGAGAGGTGTTTCAGGTGAGGATTGTTGGTGGGGAATGGGAGGGGTCGACTGCTTAACATCTGGCCATAAGGCTCCAGAGCCTTCTTAAGGTCTTGGTCTTGAATAAAGGCAAAGACGCCCGAAAGGATATATTTTTTAGAGGATTTAAAAAGAGGGTAGGGGAAAACAGTTGTTTCTTTGACCTTGAAGCCGCCGTCAATTAGTTGTTGAGCTTGTTCATTATTGGCGACCGATACTATCGCCTGGCCATTCATTTTACCTACGGAGTGAATATTTTTAAATCCGATGATGTCAGCTATGCCAATCAGATGGTCCTCGGCTGTGGCATTTGGCACAGATTCGAATTGAATCGTAGATTTTATGAGTTTACTTCTATTTTCATAAGTGGTCTTCCTATCTTCGTCTATTTTTTTCCACTCTTCAGAAGAAAATTGATATTTGGTGTTTTGCATAGTTTCAGATTTTGTTGCTTCCTTTGGTGAAAATGCACAGTTTGTCTTTGATGCTTGCGAAGATGATGGTTGTTTTTGTGATTTACGAACATCAGATAAATCAGCAAATGAAATTTGAGATGAAGCAACGACCGGCTTGGCCGTTGCCATGGCGATGATGCAAAGTTGCAACTTGTAACTTTGCTAAGTTATGGAAAATATGAAATATTCGAAAATTGATGAATTTTTACAATAGATGACTTAAAATGATGCCTGTGTAAAGGCGAATTAGATGATATAATTTAAATTTAGATAAAGTTGATTTAAAGGGATGAAAGACGCGAAACATACGGAGCTCGCGCGACGCGTGGCCGCACGGTGAACGTATGATTGATGTATATCATGTATATTTGTAATCAAAATCGTGTCAGAGGTGTGGTGTGTAAAAATTCTAAATTCTTTTGATTTTTGTAGTAAATTAAAATTTCTAAACTCTAAGTCAAGTCTTTATTTTATTCTAAAAGCTCTTCTTTTTTTTTGTAACTCGTGTTCTCTCTTGGAAACCTGATATATTGTGATGGTGTTTTGATCCACCTCCAATTTTGAACTGCCCTTTCAACCGCCACCAGTTGCCGGGTACGGCAAGTCAGCGTATGCGCGGTCAGACCACCAGCCATTCATTCTCACATTTCATCAAACCTTTTAAAACTCTTCTCAACTAGCTATTAATTTGTAAAAATTATAATAACTAAAAAATTACAAGATTTGGATCATCAACACCATTAATCGATGCGCAACGGAGGTATCTACGCCGCGATGAATCCATCAATGACTACTTTCAGTCCAAAATCTGGCTTCTAAATCAAACTTCCTTATCCAAAGTTGAACAGATCCAGATGTTGATGGAAGGATTACCAGCACAATAGAAAATTAGCTTAGCTAGCCCCAATACATTTCGAAGATATAGAGACTTGGGTAGGTGCAACCTTATAATTGGAGGCTGCTGTTAGCTCCATACAAAAGAACTCCAAACCAGCCTTCAGCGATAATAAATTTAAAGATTTTAAATCTGCTACCTCTTACGTCACTTCACCTCTGAAGCCACCATACCCATGCAGATTTTGCAAAATACGGAATTTACATAATGAATGCCCGTATAGACCCAAAACATTCCCTAAAGAAACTGCAGCAAACGGACATCCTTCAACTTTGTATGCTACTTTCGACCCTTCATCTAACTCAACTGATTTACCAACAGTTAATTTAAACTAATAGAGCGACCAATCTTCAAGTTCATCAACACATTAGTCAACTCCACCCCAATACAAGCATTCATAGATACAGGTTCAACTATCATTATAATGTCTGGAACGTACAGGTCAAACAGCTCCATCTTCAAAGATATAGGCTGAACAACCGGCAAGAAAACATGGTAAAGGTCATCATATTCCTTCCACACCTAAAGAAATTGAACTAAGAACATATAAAAGAATTTCATCTGCTCTAAAACAAAATGAAAGAGTTGGAATCTCTAGCTTCTACAAAAGGCTCGCCAATATTAGAGCCAATACGCATTGCATGCATGCACCTTGCCTGCTTTAATGTGAGTGGCATCGTCACCAGAACATTGAGCGCTATGCTACTTTTTAAAGCAGCATGAGGTGATCGCCTTCTCCATCTTTAGAGCAAAGTTAACAACCAACAATGCACAATTTCCAGACAATCACAACCCACCCAACATCTTTATAAAGAAAGAACAAAATAAACACAAGGTAATAAAACCAAATCTAAATGTATAAATAGTTATTTGGATTTGGTCTTATTACTTTATGTTGATAATCTATAATCCATATTGTGCCTTATTAAAGAAAAGAAAAAGAAAATAGAGAACTATGGAGCATTAATGCTGATTAGGAGAGAAAATTTGAACCAAAATAATTGTCTTATAATATTGAGACAACTTTGCAGCATGATATATTGAATTGGAAGATAAGAAAAAAGATTTGGACAGAACAGGGCATACATGATGGCATACTTCCATATAGGAGATGGTATAATAGAATGATGTAGTATGATTGCAACCAATATCCCTCTTTGATTTAAAAAAAAAAAAGTATCTGAATGGATTTTGAATAACTTCTGGAAACCCTTTCTTTTTTGCTCTAATTTAAATGTGACATTCAAGAGGTAAAATCACATCAGAGTGGAACATGGTGCCATTTCACAAGAAAACAATGTTTAATGTTTCAAGTTTTTAAAATCTGTTATATTGGTAGAAGCTAAGTATGTGCATGTTAGATGCAGCAAGATGTATATTCCAGGTAATCATTGTTTGAAAGTTGTAACATCTTTTGTAAAATGGGGGAAATTGACTTCAATCTTTCCACATGTGAAATTTTTCTTTTTTAAGCATAGTGGGGCAGGCAGGCCATAATTTTAGATGTCCAAAGTGAGAACATGTCACAGAAAGTCCATTTCCATGGCAGTTCTTCCTTGATAACCCAATCAATTCAGAGTGAGATTGCATTACAGAAAGTCCATTTCCATGAGGAATCTCACTTGATAAATCAATCAATTCAGAGTGAGATTGCATTACAGAAAGTCCATTTCCATGAGGAATCTCACTTGATAACCCAATCAATATTCATATCAACATAACAATAAAAGAATCATTACAACATAATATCATCTTTGTATCACACAATCCTCTCATCAAATCTTACATTTAATTAATGTATCACTTTGTATAATGATACATGGGATAATTATAATGAAATCCTTTTTTTTATAACTTTAGCAATTATATCCAGAAACATACTCATATAATAACGTCCTCAAATCCTTATAGATCTTCAATTCAAAACCAAAAGTGAGTTTGCCCAAAATGGGCACTCAGTAATTTCTTGCTGCACCCAAGCACATACTTGATGAAAGAGGAAGAAAATGTTAGTGAAATATTCTCCTAGTATTCTCTCAGCTGTTGAAACATTGCTTTTTGACTTAATTAGCAATACATGCTCCACCTCATATGATCAATCTGAGAATGTCACGGTTCATAAGAGAGCAAAGGACAATTATGAAAGTTGTGGTGTGGAGAAGACATATTAATCTTAACATAATCAATAATCTTAACAAGTTAACAAGAGTGCCATTAACCTTCTGTGAAAAACTTAAAGGGATTGAAACTAGGTCACTCACAAGTTAGGCAGTAACTATAGGAGAGAGGACTATGGCCCACTTAGAAAAGAATCCAGAAACAACAGAAAAATTTGAGGGAATTGTGATCATCACACATCATGTAGTACAACCATGGGAGGTTAGCCAGTATGGAATGCCATTTCACCCTGTTATGAACAAGTCTCTTCATTCTTTCCCCACTTATCTTTCACCATAATCCCAAGTTGAACTATTAGAAAGACCTCAACAAGGTTCACTACCAGCTCCGGTGAATCCAAATATTGACAAACCCTTCAGGATCTTCCCAGTTGGACTGGACTGAGTCTACAAGGACAACGAGGCCCTGAAATTAAGGCTATGTTAATTAAATCCATGCTTCTGCCTCATCCCATGTCAGAGATCAGAGGCACAACATCACCCAAATATAGAGAACAGGTGGTAAATGTCACAATTTGAAGAGGAAGATATGGATAAGAGGTGAAGGGCAGCAAATAGGATCCTGAAGTGAGCCAGATCACTGTTTAGATGATTTTCAGGGAAAGAATGTGTCTGCAGGTCGAGTGAGATGGCAACAATCGAGGAAAAATAGAATGTCCTGAAGGTGATATTCCTCTAAAAATGATGTGCAGGCAAGGAGTTGCGATCGACAGTAAGACACAACAAGGGTGAGTAAACATGATAGCAACTCATCACTGCACAAGCAACTTGTGGGCTGGCTTTCATTCAAGACCTGTTTGTTAAATCTACTAATATCCTAGTTCGACAACAAAGTTAAATTTTGCTTGTCTTGGAATCTATTCAGCTGCAGCTTAAAATTCCAGACCTCAAAAAATCTCAAAAAGATAAGACCAAACACTGGAAGCCATGACTGCCGAACGCGACCAACTCTTGGAGAAGCTTACATCCCTTGAGGCTTCTACTGCCCGCCCTCCAACCATCACTGCTTCCACCCAAACCCCCAAACCGATACTCCCAAGGGCCACCCTCTCTACACAAACCATCCCCAAAACAGCGGCACCTAAACCAACCACCAAGCCTTCTACCAATCCCAAACCCTCGTCCTCCACCAACAAGAAGACTCAGGACCACCTTCGATCTTCCGCATCCAAAGTTGTCATTGAAGCAACCGACCCAAATACCAACCCAAGGGAAATCCTCAAGACCATCCGCGCCACCCACAAAATCCCCGAGAACACAGTCTGGGCTTCACTTAGGACCAGGGGAAAATTAGTCCTTCACTCTGCCAACCCAGAAATTATACCCGACCTCAGCTCCGCCCTGTCCAAAAAACTTGCAGACAACCTAAAGATCCGTGAAACTCGGGAACTCCTCCCCAGGGTCTGCATCTTCAGAGTCGACAGTGAAACATCTGACCCTTCAATCATAGAATCCGCCAAGGCAATCCCCGGCATCGCAGCCATCCAAGGTGACAAGATCATCAGAGTGGCTCACCGTTCAGCACTAAGATCTGGAACAAGCACCGTGTTTTTGGAACTTGACCGGGCCTCCTTCAAGGCTCTAGGCCAAAAAGGAAGACTCATCTTAGAAGGCGTCATCCACCACTTCGAAGAGTCCATCAGAATCAGAAGATGCTTCCGATGCTGCGGATTCGGACACAACTCAAACAGATGCACCTCTGCTGAACCCATTTGCTACCATTGTAGCAAAACTGGACACGAAGGCAACTCATGCCCCACAAAATCCTCCCCTGGCACAGCAAGATGCACCTAATGCCACCCCAAAGGAATCCCTGCCAACCACGAAGCCCGCTCCTCTGCCTGTCCCACTGCTAGACTTCATGCATTGAAGTTCTAGAACTACAAATCTCGGCCACCATACTCCAAAGAACAAATCCCTGGGCGAAAAATCTGGCCTAACAAACGACTACACAGAGCTACACCGGCTCCACTTCACCTACGCCTTGGCGTCCACCGACACGGCTTGTGTTTTAGATATAGTGTGCCCGGAAAAGTCTCCACTGAGACTTGTGCGGGCGAAGGCAAGATTAATTCCACCAAATACATAAAACAAAAATGTTGATATATACCAATGTGTGAAAGATATTCCGCATCTCTCTGGATGAAATGGAACAAGGAGGTTGAAAGTCCCTGGGGTGGTACTGGAAGTCCCTATATTGTCCAAAGGAGAAACACGAACTAGATACCAAAAGGGGATTCTCCAGATTTGAGTCAGTGCACCATATCAACAATATCATAGTGAATGTGACCCAAAGACATTCCTGACATCACCAGGCTGCTACACACTCAGGGCTCTGTTTGCACACCAGTTACACTGCATGGTGCATCACGTGACAAGTTTGTTCATCTACAGGTAATAACAGCCAGGTTGCTGCATCACCTTGTGCAACACGTAACAAGGCTTGTCCCCCTCCACGTAATAAATGCCAGTGCCTCAAACTTTCAAAGATCTGCAAAAGCCCCAGACACCACTATGGGTGCATAGCTGTGGAAACAGACACAAAAGATTAGAACAAGGCAGGAATAAAAATACTCAGGAAAGAGACCTCACAGCCGGGGCACTAGGCTACCCCAACCCATGTTCCAACTTCTCCTGCAAGGCCGACTGAGACAGTTTTGGCCGCTCCAAACTATAAGGAGTCCATATCACATACTCTGACACCATGTCACACCCCTGCAAGCAACCTCCATTCCTTTTCAACAAGAAGCTCAAATGGTGACTAACAGCTTAACTAAAAAATTGGCAAAAATTCCACCACAGAGTGCTGCTGAGGATGTCCACCAGGTAATATCCTCCAAAGAACCTAATTCTTACAGCATCCATCCCTACCCTGCCGCCCCTCAATTCAACAAGAGGAAGCAGCAGACGCAGCGGCCCAAAGCTGGTGGTCGTGGAAGATGGCCCTTCTAGCGAGCAGACGCCACAGGTTGTGGCAGCAGCTCCAATAAAGATTCCTATACAAGATGCAAGTCCCAACTCGGGTAGCACCAATGTTTGAATTCATGGCATATTGTATGTATATGTGATAATCTGTATACAGGATTATGTAACCTCACCACAATCTATGTATAATGTATCGTCTAAAGGTTTAATAAAAGTTAGGCCTCGCGAGATGGGAAAGACACAAAGTACAGAATTGCATCATCCAAAGTTCAAAGGCCTTTGTTGCAGATCCACTGCCTTTTTTTGTGTGTGTTTTAATTCTCATTTTATTTGGAGATATTGAGATGGGGGCCTTCAAAATGTAAGAAAGCCGCGGAAGAAGATGCCCCCCTCCCCCCGCGCGGGCCAGCCACCACCCATGCAGGGGTGATGTCACGCCCATGATGCAACTTCCGGCCCCCCCTCGCCCCCCTCTCTTTGTTCTCAAGTTGTCGTCGCGTGCTCGCGTCTTGAGACCCAAAACTCTATATCTCTTTTGAAATAATTCTTTACCTATAATTTTTGTATTAATTATAATAAATTTTTCTTTCTTCCCAACAATCAATGAGTTGCAATAGTTTTACTTTATTCTATGCTGGTTACGCCGTCCAGTGATTCGAATTCTTTGTTCAAAGCTCGACAGCCTTCTTCTTCCTGAAAGATTGCAATCATGGCGACAATGGAGGTACTGAGCAAATCACCTTTAAGCATGACAAATTAATAGCGAATCATCAGAGAGCACGTGGAAGGATCTCAACAAATGAGAAGTCGAGAGAACCGATGACAATTATCTCGGACAAGAAACAGAAAGAAGGTAGGTGACCGTGATATGAGCTAGGTGTGCTCTACATAGGCTCCAACCTAGGTAGTGTACGCTCCATCATGTGAAAGGCCAGCTACCTCTGTCAAACAATCTCCCAATCGCAAGGTCCTTTTCAACCCCATCCAGGTGTGTTCGTTCTTCCCCTGTGGAACCCTTTTCACCTGCCCAAAATATTAAAAAAAAAAAAAAAAAGACAAAATGCATAAAGCAAAAATGTTGATATATACCAATGTGTGAAAGATATTCCGCATCTCTCTGGATGAAATGGAACAAGGAGGTTGAAAGTCCCTAGGGTGGTACTGGAAGTCCCTATATTGTGCAAAGGAAACACGAACTAGTTACCAAAAGGGGATTCCCGAGATTTGAGTCAGTGCACAATGTCAACAATATCATAGTGAATGTGACCCAAAGACATTCCTGACATCACCAGGCTGCTACACACTCAGGGCTCTGTTTGCACACCAGTTACACTGCATGGTGCATCACATGACAAGTTTGTTCATCTACAGGTAATAACAGCCAGGTTGCTGCATCACCTTGTGCAACACGTAACAAGGCTTGTCCCCCTCCAGGTAATAAATGCCAGTGCCTCAAACTTTCAAAGATCTGCAAAAGCCCCAGACACCACTATGGGTGCATAGCTGTGGAAACAGGCCCAAAAGATTAGAACAAACAATAGGGGCAGAAATATAAATACCAAGGAAAGACGCTCCACAGCCAGGGCACTTGGCTACCCCAACCCATGTTCCAACTTCTCCTGCAAGGCCGACTGAGACAGTTTTGGCCGCTCCAAACTATAAGGAGTCCATATCACATACTCTGACACCATGTCACACCCCTGCAAGCAACCTCCATTCCTTTTCAACAAGAAGCTCAAATGGTGACTAACAGCTTAACTAAAAAATTGGCAAAGATTCCACCACAGAGTGCTGCTGAGGATGTCCACCAGGTAATATCCTCCAAAGAACCTAATTCTTACAGCATCCATCCCTACCCTGCCGCCCCTCAATTCAACAAGAGGAAGCAGCAGACGCAGCGGCCCAAAGCTGGTGGTCGTGGAAGATGGCCCTTCTAGCGAGCAGACGCCACAGGTTGTGGCAGCAGCTCCAATAAAGATTCCTATACAAGATGCAAGTCCCAACTCGGGTAGCACCAATGTTTGAATTCATGGCATATTGTATGTATATGTGATAATCTGTATACAGGATTATATGTAACCTCACCACAATCTATGTATAATGTATCGTCTAAAGGTTTAATAAAAGTTAGGCCTCGCGAGATGGGAAAGACACAAAGTACAGAATTGCATCATCCAAAGTTCAAAGGCCTTTGTTGCAGATCCACTGCCTTTTTTTGTGTGTGTTTTAATTCTCATTTTATTTGGAGATATTGAGATGGGAGCCTTCAAAATGTAAGAAAGCCGCGGAAGAAGATGCCCCCCTCCCCCCGCGCGGCGCGGGCCAGCCACCACCCATGCAGGGGTGATGTCACGCCCATGATGCAACTTCCGGCCCCCCCTCGCCCCCCTCTCTTTGTTCTCAAGTTGTCGTCGCGTGCTCGCGTCTTGAGACCCAAAACTCTATATCTCTTTTGAAATAATTCTTTACCTATAATTTTTGTATTAATTATAATAAATTTTTCTTTCTTCCCAACAATCAATGAGTTGCAATAGTTTTACTTTATTCTATGCTGGTTACGCCGTCCAGTGATTCAAATTCTTTGTTCAAAGCTCGACAGCCTTCTTCTTCCTGAAAGATTGCAATCATGGCGACAATGGAGGTACTGAGCAAATCACCTTTTAGCATGACGAATTAACAGCCAATCACCTTTAACCCTTAAGTACTCGCGCGGGGTGTATCACACCCCAAGCTATCACTTTACCTCAAGAAAATCATTAAATCCTTAACCAAAATCTTCCAATTTTTCAATAGCTTAATATTTCAATGTGCCAAATAGACATGTCAAATTTCAACAAAATTAATAGAGGGAATATATTTGTAATTTATTCTTTTTGCTAGAATGGGGTGTGTCACACCTGCGCGAGTACTTACGTAACAAAGTTTTGTAATCAGCCCGAATATGATACTGCTGAATTCTCACGCACCATGAGTCATTTCCCCTACCTTTCAGTGTCAATTTAGTTTCACTTTGCCCATCATCTAAGCTTACTTTGATCCAATATTATAATGGATAGCAAAAATATTCAATCACTTTTTAGCTTGTTTGATGAGGAAGAAGAAGATTTTGATGAGCTAGATGATGATAACTTTAGTGATGATGAAGAATATATCCCCCATAGCTCAGATTCAGAACAAGAAGAAGACGATGAACAAGAACCACATCAGGATTCTACGTACTTCTTTGGAAGAGATAAAATGACCAAATGGAAAAAGGAAGAATGGAGAACATCAAGGGTACGTACAAGAGCTATAAATATTATTACACACTTACCTTGTTCTAAACAATTTGGTAAGAACACTCCAACTCCATTAGAAGCTTTTTTGAAATTTATTAGTATTGACATAATCAAAAAAATAGTTGAATACACAAATATTTTTATTGAGACCATCAGGCCAAATTATAGCAGGGAGAGAGATTGCCGCAATACAGATGAAAATGAAATCCGTTGTCTGCTCGGACTCATAATAATAATCGGAAAAAATCGTGCATCGCATTTGCATTTCAAAGAAATTTGGAATGCAAATGGCACTGGTATAGAAATATGCAGAGCAGCAATGGCCTACGAACGATTTTTGTTCCTTTTGCGAGTAATTCGATTTGACAATGTCCTTACTAGACAGATCAGAAGAGATAATGACAAATTTGCTGCCCTGAGGGAAATTTTTGAAATGTTTGTTGCCAACTGTAAGCAAATGTATTCCCCTGGCGAATATTTAACCCTTAACTGGACGGGTTGGGTAGATTCCGCCCATGCATAAACTTAATATAGGAAAAAAATATATTTTTCGTTTACTGAGAGCTAACAGCTTTGGTGTATTCTAATTTTACAGTGATACAAACAATTTCCATTCATCGTTTAAAAATATAAGTTTTGGTAGGGCGGTTAAATTTGCATGTGTGGGCGGATTCCGCCCATGCCGTCCAGAAGCGTGAGAATTTTTCATGTTAGGGTTATAGCTGATTGCTCATTCTCGAGTCGCTTTCTTCCGCTATTTTTTAGCTTCCATTCATAAAATAAGACTTCTTTCTTTGGCTAAGTAGAATTTATTCTTTTAGATTAAAAAAAAACAACTTCCTTAATTTTTTTTTATCAAGGTAAGACTTTTTATTTTTGAAATTCTATTTATAATGGAAGACGAAATTTTGAATAAGAATTTTGACGATGATTCTGAAACTGAAAATTATTCATTGAACGAATCTTCAGATGTCAGTACAGATGAGGAATGTGATTCAATTCTTACCACTGTTCAAATGTCTTCAAGTAATTGTTTCATTGGGAAAAATGGCTATAAGTGGAACAAGAATCATGCAATAATTGGAAGAACCCGTTCTCATAACATAATTACACACTTACCTGGTCTGAAAGGCCCTGCTAAACCGAAGCCAAATTGTAGCATAGATATATTCAACTTATTTTTTACTGCCGCAATTATAAAACAAATATCTGAATTTACAAATGCAAAAATTGAAGAATTTCGCCAAAGAATTTCAGATTTGACCAAAAGTACTTACTCAAATTTTACAAGTGAAATAGAAATAAGAGCATTCTTAGGTTTGTTGTATCTAGCTGGAGTTTACAAATCAGGTCATGAAAATGTAGAATCTTTGTTTGCCTCTGATGGAACAGGCCGTGACATTTTTCGCTCTGTAATGAGTGTGAAGCGTTTCCTTTTTCTATTACTTTGTATTAGATTTGATAATTTCAAGACAAGATGCAAAGTAGATAGACTCTCACCCATAAGAGATATTTTCCAAACCATTATTGAAAAATTTCAAAGTTGTTATACACCTGCTGAATACCTTACTGTTGACGAAATGCTTGTAGAGTTTCGGGGAAAATGTCCATTCAAAATTTATATACCCTCAAAACCTAATAAATATGGGATAAAAATAGTGATACTAGCAGACTCAAGAACACATTATATATATAATGCAATGGTATATACAGGAAAATCTAAAACTCCAAAGTCAAAAGAACTATCCCTGCCAACACAAATAGTTTTAGATATTAGTCGACCACTTTGGAAGAGTAATAGAAATATTACAGCAGACAACTGGTTTACTTCAATAGAATTAGTTGATAAGTTGAAAGAACATGGCCTTACATATTTAGGAACGATGAGAAAGAACAAACCTCAGATTCCACCACAATTCCAACCGCATCCTAAAAGAGAATCAGGAACATCTATTTTTGGTTTCTCTGGAACAAAAAATTTAGTCTCCTATGTTCCCAAAAAAAGAAAATCAGTAATCCTTATATCTTCGATGCATCATGACAATAAATGTGATAAAACAACAGGAAAACCTGACATTATAATGGATTATAATCTAACAAAAGGAAGTGTAGATACCATTGACCAAATGGTCTCCAATTTTTCTACCTCTTGTCGATCCAGAAGATGGCCTTTGGCACTTTTTTATGCCCTTTTAGATATCACAGCTCTGAATTCTTACATCATCTTCAACTATCAGATTGATAAAAAGGATCAAAAAGAAAGAAGTACCTTTATTGTTGATCTTGGGAGATCCTTGATTGATGAACACCTGGCCACACGTAATCTAAATTCCCTCCCGCTGGAATTACAGACGACAATAAAAAAAATCAAAAATAATGATGGTTCAAGTACATCAAGAGGATCTACGATGCCACAAGAATCTGATACTCCAAAAAGGTGCTACAAATGTCCATCAAAAAATGCGGGAAAAGTGAAAACCTTATGCTCTGTATGTCAACTAAGCGTCTGTAAAAAACATTTCTTAATTATTTGTGAAAACTGTAAATAGATTATATTTAGAATTTTTAGAAGTCAAAATCTGTATATTAACATTTGTAATCATTAAATAATCTTTCAAATATTGATTTAATTCATTATTTAGCGCTTATTTCGTAAAGGTACATAAGTGGGTTGAATCTACCCACCCCGTCCAGTTACGTAAGAAAAAATCACCCGTCCAGTTAAGGGTTAACAATCGATGAAAAGCTTATTCCTTTTAGAGGGAAATGTAATTTTCGTCAATACATACCAAACAAACCTGCAAAATATGGCTTGAAAATATACATGATGTCTGATGCACACACGTTCTATACTGTGAATATGGAGCCGTATGTTGGTAACAATCGTGGACCTTTTTATAAATCCAATGCTTCTGATGATGTTGTCAAAAGATTGGTGGAACCAGTATCAGGAACAAAACGAAATATTACCACTGATAACTGGTATACAAGTTTCCCACTAGCTCAAAGTTTGTTGACTGAACATAACTTGACCCTCGTTGGAACTTTGAAAAAAAATAAAAAGGAAATTCCTGTAGAGTTTTTACCCAACAGGAATAGACCTATCTTTTCTTCAATTTTTGGCTTCAATGAAAATAAAACTCTTGTATCATATGTCCCCAAGAAATCAAAATCAGTTATCCTATTGTCAACAATGCACTCAACAATGACAATTGACGAGGACACAGGAGATAAAATGAAGCCGGAAATAGTCACTTTTTATAACCAAACCAAGATAGGCGTTGATGTTGTTGACCAAATGTCGGGGACCTACAGTGTAGGACGACGCACAAGAAGATGGCCTCTGTGTATTTTCTTTGATCTCGTCAATGTTGCAGAAATAAATGCACAAGTACTTTACAACGCAAATCACCTGCAAGAAGAACCCATTAAAAGACGCCACTTTTTGGAAAAGATCGGACTGAGTTTGATAGATGAACATATCAAAGAACGCCTTTGCATTGTGTCACTACCTAAAGATATAAAACTTGCTCTTCGAAGGATAATTGGAGTGGCAAATGAACAAACAGTAAGTAAAAATGTTATTTACCAATATAAATAAACATGATAAATTTTATGATGGTTTTTTTTAGGTACCAGGACCATCAGAACCACTTTCAAAAAAGCAAAAGCGATGCCATCTTTGTGACCGATCTAAAGATAGGAAAACAAAGACTACCTGCAAAAATTGCAAAAGAAATATCTGCAATAATCATTCCTTCATTATGTGTGCAGAATGCTTTGAAAATTAATGAAAAAAATATAAGATTTATTTTTGTGAATAATGAATATGCATAAAAATTGTAAATGCTTATATGATTTAGAAAACATGTACAAGCACTGGAATAATTAAATATTTTATTATTTTATTTACATTTTAATTAATATCCATTCTTTTCTCTATAATATAAATATAAATACGTTGTATTTGGCTTACATTATATATATTAGATTTAGGTTTATATTTTGGGGTGTGATACACCCCGCGCGAGTACTTATGTAACAAAAAATGCCGCGAGTACTTAAGGGTTAAGCATGACAAATTAATAGCGAATCATCAGAGAGCACGTGGAAGGATCTCAACAAATGAGAAGTCGAGAGAATCGATGACAATTATCTCGGACAAGAAACAGAAAGAAGGTAGGTGACCGTGATATGAGCTAGGTGTGCTCTACATAGGCTCCAACCTAGGTAGTGTACGCTCCATCATGTGAAAGGCCAGCTACCTCTGTCAAACAATCTCCCAATCGCAAGGTCCTTTTCAACCCCATCCAGGTGTGTTCGTTCTTCCCCTGTGGAACCCTTTTCACCTGCCCAAAATCTAAAAAAAAAAGACAAAATGCATAAAGCAAAAATGATGATATATACCAATGTGTGAAAGATATTCCGCATCTCTCTGGATGAAATGGAACAAGGAGGTTGAAAGTCCCTAGGGTGGTACTGGAAGTCCCTATATTGTCCAAAGGAAACACGAACTAGATACCAAAAGGGGATTCCCGAGATTTGAGTCAGTGCACAATGTCAACAATATCATAGTGAATGTGACCCAAAGACATTCCTGACATCACCAGGCTGCTACACACTCAGGGCTCTGTTTGCACACCAGTTACACTGCATGGTGCATCACGTGACAAGTTTGTTCATCTACAGGTAATAACAGCCAGGTTGCTGCATCACCTTGTGCAACACGTAACAAGGCTTGTCCCCCTCCACGTAATAAATGCCAGTGCCTCAAACTTTCAAAGATCTGCAAAAGCCCCAGACACCACTATGGGTGCATAGCTGTGGAAACAGACACAAAAGATTAGAACAAGGTAGGAATAAAAATACTCAGGAAAGAGACCTCACAGCCGGGGCACTAGGCTACCCCAACCCATGTTCCAACTTCTCCTGCAAGGCCGACTGAGACAGTTTTGGCCGCTCCAAACTGTAAGGAAACCACATCACATACTCTGACACCATGTCACCCCCTGCAAGCAACCTCTCCATTCCTTTTCAACAGGATGTTCAAATGGTGACTAACAGCTTAACTAAAAAATTGGCAAAGTGTGTCACCATAGAGTGCTGCTGAGGATGTCCACCAGGTAATATCATCCAAAGAACCTAATTCTTACAGCATCCATCTCTACCCTGCCGCCTCTCAATTCAACAAGAGGAAGCAGCAGACGCAGCGGCCCAAAGCTGGTGGTCGTGGAAGATGGCCCTTCTAGCGAGCAGACGCCACAGGTTGTGGCAGCAGCTCCAATAAAGATTCCTATACAAGATGCAAGTCCCAACTCGGGTAGCACCAATGTTTGAATTCATGGCATATTGTATGTATATGTGATAATCTGTATACAGGATTATGTAACCTCACCACAATCTATGTATAATGTATCGTCTAAAAGTTTAATAAAAGTTAGGCCTCGCGAGATGGGAAAGACACAAAGTACAGGATTGCATCATCCAGGAAGTAAAGGTCACTGACCTGAACCCATAAAACCTAAGTTCAAAGGCCTTCTTCTTCCTTGAGGATTGCAATCATGGCGACAATGGAGGTGCTGAGCCAATCACCTTTAAGCATGACCAATTGATACTGAATCACCAGAGAGCACGTGGAAGGATCTCAACCAATGAGAAGTCGAGAGAGTCAATGATGATTATCTCGGACAAGAAACAGAAAGAAGTTAGGTGACAGTGCTACGAGCTAGTTGTGCTCTACATAGGCTCCAACCAAGGTAGTGTACGCTCCATCATGTGAAAGGCCAGCTACCTCTGTCAAACATTCTCCCAATCGCAAGGTCCTTTTCTACCCCATCCAGGTGTGTTCGTTCTTCCCCTGTGGAACCCTTTTCACCTGACCAAGACTGCGCGACACCATTCACCAATCCAATCCCATATCCACCCAACCACACAATTCAACAGAGAGTCGACAGCATTCCCACAGTGAGTCGACACCCCAATTCGACATATATATGTAAATATTACAACTATTTTTATATTTTTATTTTTTTTTGTGTGTGTAACCCCTCAGCGGAGGGAAATCTATTTTTTTACTGTTTTTTCTCCTTTTCACACACCAGCCCCCACCCCCTGTCGAGAGAATGTAATTGTCCGCCGGCCGGATGGACAGTCCAAGAACCCACCGACCAATCGGAGGGTCAGAGGGGTCACGAGGTCCGGGCGCGGGGGCAGCAGAGTTGGTGACACGGCTGTGCCAAGTAGACAAGAAAAAACCTCACGGGAGCTTGCCCAAGATGACCTCCGGGAACTTTGTCCATCTTCCATAAAGGACCATACAAGCGGTCTGAGAAGGGACTTGGTGGCTGACATCTCAAAGAAAGGTGAAGCCGAGACGAATCTTTGAGAGATTCGCATAGTGGTTGGAGTACGTCGAGGGCGACGAATTGTGCGTCATCTGAAGATACCAGGAAGTTCGTCGAGGACGACGAATTGTGCTTCCAAGGCTGGTGTTTTCTGCAGGGGGGCTCGGGCAGGCCGACTTAACAACTGAGAGGAACTGTTTTGGTGAGCACTCTTTCACACGCTTTTTCTTTTTATTTCCTAAATTGATATATTTTTTTGTTATTCTAGCATTTTTTAAATATTTTTTCTTTCTTATTTTTACCAAGTTTTCTATTTCGCCAATATCATCATTTTTTAAACATTAAGTTGCATGCAAAATTTGGAATATACAAAATAATAAGTTTTCATATCTGATAAAGCATAATTTGGATAATAGATTATAATAAAAGAAAATAAGACCTAATCCAAAAAATCCACTTTTAATTCTAAGAAGAATATTTCAAGTTGACTTAAAAACTATTTTCCTTATCTGTTATCTTGTTTAAACACTTGATAACAGGACTATATAAGAACTTGCTGTAACATGTTTTCTCATTTATTCCTTTGTCTGATGATGGTGACAATGTTGTTGCCGAAACGTACACACTAATAAATTATTTGGATTAGGTCTTATTTTCTTTTAAGTTTTCATATCTTTTTTTATCCTTTATTTTAGAGCTATCAAAAAATTAAACAAAAGCTTTATAATGTGTAGCATTTGTTGTCTTCCTTTTTTCTTGCCTAAACACCCTAAGCAGCCCAAAACAATATCAAAACTTTAGGTTAAAGTTTTTATTTGTTAAAAAGGGGCTTTGTGGAGCATTCCGAATTTTTATTTTTCTCCACGAAATTTTTCCTTACCCCTTTCTTAACATTTTATTTCGGCGTCCCCGGGTGGGCTGCATTGGCTGGTCAAATCGAAAAAAGGGAAAAAAAGAAAGGCTCCTGGGAATATTATACAGTAAATAATGCACAGAGTATTAATACATTAAAAAGGGCTAGAGCCCCCAAAAGAGCTATTTTTAACTCGGCTGTCCACCGTGTTTTGGACTGAAATAGAAAAGCCAGATTTCGATGCAATGGGGCAATTTAGTAAAATTAGTGACCATGAAACTCTTGGGGATGTAGATAAATTTCACTATCTGCTACAAGCGGTAGTCGAGGGATCCAGAGCTCAACGTCTTGTGTGCAGTTACCCTATCACTGAAGATATTTATCCCAAGGTAATACAAGCCCTAAAAGATAGATTCGGAGATAAGAATCTTCTCATAGAACACTACATAAGAAGACTGTTGAAACAAGTTGTTTCTAATGCAAGGAAAGAAAACATTCCTCTTGACGAGATCTACGATGATCTAACAGCTCACTTAAAGAACCTAGAATCACTGGGTGTTAACACAGAGATGGCAGGCGTGTTTCTCTACCCACTGGTTGAGTCTGCCATTGGACATTATTCAGGTGTGGCAGAGGAATCCTGCTGTGGGCTATGGGATAAAAGAAGGAGTGGAGAATGGAGATAAGAGTGATGCCGGCGGTAGACTACAGGCTCTGATGGACTTACCGGTGCTGAGCGACTGGCATTTGCTAAGGAGAATTTTGAGGGTAATAGCTCAATGAGGGCCAAAGGTTTTCAGCTAAAGATTTTTCGGAAGACACCGCCCACTGTCTCCAATTTATTCAGCAGCGCATTTAAGAGAAAATGCATATTCTGCCAGAGAGATAATCACCTAAGTAGTAAATGTTTTGTTGCTTCGCGTCTTACACCTAGCGAGAGGGATCAAAAGATAAAGGAAGCTAGAGTCTGCTTTAAATGTATAAAGGGTAATCATCTGAGAAAGGAATGCCCTTCGTTTTGTTCCAATCGACATCAATGGATTTTTCTCGATATAACACACTCCCTCGCCGTTCGCCTTCCGCCACTGATTTTTCGTATCCCAAGTAGCAAAACCACTCGTTATAGCGCCACTCACAATGTCCCTCACACCCCCGCTCCCATTTTCCTGTCTGCATTTTTTCCGCCAGCGCCGCCGGACTTTGCCTGCAGTTGACACAACATATTGTGTGAACAGCCAGCAGACCCTTTTCCTGCTTGTGTCTGGGACATACACAATCGCTTCATCCTTTGCTAATGTCAACACAACAACTTATTGTCGTATCATGAGTTCCCAAAAGCGTAAACGTGAGTCGATCACGATTGAAAAGAAGAAGGAGATATGCCAGTTGGCAAGAAATAACGCTACGAAGTCGAAGAATGAGATTGGAAAGCGTTTCTCACTTCCACGAACAACTGTCCGTGATATTCTCACTCAGGCTGAGAAGTGGGAAAATTATACTGTTGGTTCTTCAAAGAGACAAAGAGTCGAAAAATTTAGTGACTTGGAAAACGCTCTCTTCAACTGGTTTACCCAAAAGCGTGCCAATAATATTATTATTACTGATGACCTCCTAAGAGAAAAGGCAAAAAAACTTGGCAAGCAGTTGAACGTACCAGAAAACTTTGCTTACAGCAGTGGGTGGCTGCAGCGATTTAAAGGGAGATTCCATATTTCACAATGACGGCTCTGTGGGGAAGGCGCATCGATTTCTCCAGCTATCATTGATGAACATCTTACAAATTTGAACAGTATTCTGGCGAACTCTGGATATGACCCTGCCAACATATACAATGCAGATGAAACAGGATTATTTTTCAGCTCATTCCTGACGGAACACTTGCTCACAAAGATGAAAACTGCCGTGGTGTCAAAAGTATGAAGCAACGAATCCCTGTTCTACTGTGCTGCAACTCTACCGGAACAGACAAGCGGCGATTGCTGATTATTGGAAAATCGGCAAAGCCTCGATGCTTCAGAAACTTTAGTCCACACTTCTACTGCACTTACACATCTAACAGCAAAGCATGGATGACCTCTAGCATCTTTCAAGAATGGCTACTGCAGTTCAACAAGCAGCTTGTCTCTGAAGGATGTCGTATCCTACATAACGCTACATCTCACTGCGTCCCTAATGATAGTCTCAGCAACATAAAGATACACTTCCTTCCACCAAATATGACTGCCAATCTGCAACCACTGGATAGTGGCATCATCAAAAGTTTCAAGGCTCAATATCGCAAGCTTCAACTCCAGCTTTAACAAAAATGAATAACCCTACATATTTACATAAAAATACTAGTTTTAGTGTTCCATCTTTGAATAGCCTCAAAACAAAAGATGAAATTTGTCCATATCATGCTGCCTCTAATGGCCAGGTAGAGAGAGCCATACAAACTTTAAAAATAAAAAAAGTGACAAAGGTGAATGGTCAACCAGGTTGGCTAGATCTCTCTTGACAATGAGAATAACTGTAAACAACACAACTCAAAAATCTCCAGCTCAACTTCTGATGAATTAAGAATTTGAAATGCCTTCTGAATAAATTTCACCCAGAAAATGTCTCTGAGGAGAGAAGTAACCAAGAAGAAAGATTCATGAGAACATAGAGACCCCATAGAGCAGTGGAGGAAGGACAGGAAATTGTAGCTAGGAATTACCATGGTCCTAAATGGTTACCTGGAGTGGTCTATGAAAAAACAGGCCCTGTCTCAGTTGAAGTAGAAACTGATGATGGAAGAGTTATTAATAGACATTTGGATCAGGTGAGGAACTGTGGTGAAAATGCTCCTCAAGTGCCACCTGAGACTGAAGTTGAAGGAACTCAAGCTGCTCCAGTAATAGAATCTCCTACAGTGACTCCGCAGCCTGTCTTGAGGAGGTCCTCAAGAATAAGGAAGCCTACAAAGCTTTTTGACATTTAATGGGTGTTTGACTTAATGGGGAGGAGTTGTTGCGTATTGTTAATCATTGATTTTATATATTCTGTTTTTATCATCATCCATGTCCCAATTAAAAGATGTTTCGAGAATAAATTGTTTTTGTTATTTTGTGTAAACAAAATTTTTAGAGTAGGTTTTTTAGAGTAGGTTAGGTTAAGTTAGATATATTTTTTATAAATATGTAAATTGTAATATAGGATTAATTGCTAAATTCTATATTTACTTTAAATTTAATGTATTCTTTTGCTCAAGAGTTCACAAAATAAACTTCTTGAGATTAATTTTCTTTTTTAAAAATTATATTCTTAACGACTGCACTTTTAACTTTAAAAAATCATTTTAAATTTACATAGTTTGTAACAGTTAGCCGACAGGATTTACCTAGTAATAATTGATTTTCAAAAATGCCTCCGAAAATAGAAAAGCCAACTGAGCAACAATCTTCTACAAATAATTTTGATTTACCAAAATATGATGGACAAAGTTTTGATATAACTTCATGGATAAAGTTCTTTAACAAAAAAATGCCAACAAAACCATTTTGATGAAGACTATAAGCTAAAGAATATTTCAAATTATCTTGATGGAGAAGCTTTTAATTTTTATATAGAAAAATTACAAGATATAGATAATTGGGGGGAACTAGAACAAAAATTACTTTCATATTTTACAGTTAAAGATTCGAATCTATTTAGTAAATTCTTAAATTTAAAATATAATGATAAAGATGATCTTGATGTTTATTTTAAAGAAAAATCTTCATTAGCAAAAAAACTTAATTTAGATACACCCCTATTATTAGAAGCTCTTACAGATGGGATGCCAAATTACCTAAAGAAATATTTAATTGCAGCAAGAGTTAAGGAAACCTCACATTGGATTAAAATAACCACTCAATTAAAATACTCTACCAATCAAGAAAAACAGGAACCACAATGTAAATAAAACTCAGATAATCAGCAACCATCCACAAGTAATGATAATAGGCAGAATTTTCAAACTAGATCATATTACCCAGCAAGGTCAAGGTTTAACCCCAACTCTCCTCCAAGTCTACAATCCCAGCCACCTCCAAGGTCATCTCCAAGATCAACCACAGCTCATCACCAGGAAGCATCCAGTAGAACTGATGGCGGGTTGAACAGTTGATAGTTTTTTAGCGCTGATTCAGCTTACTTCCCGGATTCATGTTTTACCATAGCCGTTCTGCAATTTGTATCATTTTTTAAGTTTTTTAATTTTTTAACATTTCACGATTAGCATGCTTACGTAGTTGTTATATATCAATAATTCAGATATGCAAAATTTTAACCTGAATTGTATTTTCGCCGTACTATATACATCACATATGCAAATATACCTCTAATAGATTCCTATATAAAGTCTTTGGTTACCTTAGTTTGCTACCTGTTGAAGGGCGTGACTGCCCGAAAGCTTGTCACACGTTTATCTGAATAAAAATCTTTTCTCCTTAATTTTCATTTCTATTTTTAAATATTCAATGGAGAAAGTTTTCACATAGTTCAAATGTCATTAATTTAAGACATAACAGAAATAATAAAAAAATTAACTTGAGTGACAGCCGGACAGGAGGAAGGTCTCCAATTATGTGGTGACATCCAACATGCCTTGTTCTTTTGTGTAATTCATTCATGCCTGAAACCATCTGAACATTGTGGACACAACAACTGCATCTATCCAACATGCCAACTTTTTCTCCATTATAATTATCTTATGCTTTCATCTATAATCACCATAAGCTAATTTTCATCACCCGGGGCATAAACTGTTGTAATATATTTCAATTTATATTTATATCCCCATATATAAGATAACTATAGTGTAATACCAAAACGAAACAATAAAATTATATTGAGTGACAGCCAGCGCCAGACAGGAGGAAGGTCTCCGATTACACCGTTGGTCCGTTAAAAACATAGTCGGATTCCCAGGGGTGCCCTCTCCCTTTGCTCAAATATAGATAAGACCCCCCTCGACCGGTGTCCGGCTGCCTTCACTCTCTATCGCCAACTCAGTGGTGACATCCAACATTCCTCGTTCTTTTGTGTAATTCATTCAGGCCTGAAACCATCTGAACATTGTGGCCACAACGACTGCATCTAACCAACATGCCACACTACAGTCATCCTACATCACAACATATATATATATATATATAACATAACTTAAGAACAGCACTAGGGGCAGGAATAAAAATACCCAGGAAAGAGACCTCACAGCCAGGGCACTAGGCTACCCCAAGCCATGTTCCAACTTCTCCTGCAAGGCCGACTAAGACAGTTTTGGCCGCTCCAAACTGTAATGACACAACATCACATACTCTGACACCATGTCACACCCCCCCATCCCCTCTGCAAGCAACCTCTCCATTCCTTTTCAACAGGAAGCTAAATGGTGACTAACAGCTTAACTAAAAAATTGGCAAAGATTTCACCACAGAGTGCTGCTGAGGATGTCCACCAGGTAATAAAAACCAAAGAACCTAATTCTTACAGCATCCATCCCTACCTGCCGCCCTCAATTCAACAAGAGGAAGCAGCGGCCCAAAGCTGGTGGTCGTGGAAGATGGCCCTTCTAATGAACAGACGCCACAGGTTGTGGCAGCAGCTTCAATAAAGATTCCTATACAAGATGCAAGTCCCAACTCGGGTAACACCACATCCATAGGAAGAGTTCCCACTGTCACGACCAAAAATATCTCACTCCCTTCAAAGGAAGAGTGGGTATTGAAAAATGGGCCAATGTAGAAAACTCTAATTAAGGCATTCACTCGAGGAGTGAGGGCACCACAAAGACCATCAGTACCATTCAACATGAACTTGTTATAGCCCTAAATTGTTTTAAAAATATATAAACACCTTTTTGATACCATCTAATATAATCTTTATCTACTTTCTCTTTAAACACAAGGTAATAAGACCATTATTGTGTTTATAATCTACAATCCAAATTGTGCCTCATCTACTTTCTCTTTCTTTACTTCTTATACCTTCTTTAAAAAAATATATATATATTCAAAATAATATATGTTGTAATATATTTCAATTTATATCCTATATCCCCATATGTAACATGACTATAGTGTAATACCAAAACAAAATAATAATGTTAGATTGAGTGACAGCCGGCGCCAGACAGGAGGAATTACACAGTCGGTCCGTTTAAAACAGTCGGATTCCCAGGGGTGCCCCCCTTAGCTCAAATATAGATCCCCCTCGACCGGTGTCCGGCTGCCTTCACTCTCTATCTCGCCATCTCTGTGGTGACATCCAACATGTCTCGTACTTTTGTGTAATTCATTCACGCCTGAAACCACTCTGTGGCCACAACGACTGCATCTAACCAACATGCCACACTACAGTAATCCTACATCACAACATATATATATATAACATAACTTATTGTTCGGCAATAGCTGCTATACTGACACGTATTAACATATGTACCATCTATCTACCACCTTCAAAGCACTACATCTCAACCACTTTTCCTTTTTATAAATAATATAAATGTGTCTCTACCTTGTAAAAACTCCTTCCATACCTCCAATGTATTGTAAATAATCCAATCTGTAACAAATGAATAACCAAGAGTCTAAATAAAATTCAGTGCTCTGACAAAGACTTGGATGGACTCCAGCTGTGGAGGGATGGCCCATGTGTGTGGGGGAACAGGCACCAGGATGGTATCCCAGTGTGGGGAAAACGGACAGTTTTGGTCACATCGGCAGTGACATAACACCTTGCAAGTGGTGTGTGGATTAACCAATAAGACGGTGCCAAAACAGACAAGGAAGATCTCACTACTTGTGGCTGACAATAAAGGCAAGTCCATCTACTGTACATAATTATTAATCCCCTTTAGTCCCTTGTATTCAAGTACATCAAACTAAGCTGTATCCATATTATTTTCATAGAAACCTTGTTCACAAGCAACAACCACTGGAAAGCATCATAACAAAACAAACATCATTTTCACACCACTTTTAAAAAAATTATATATTCATTAAATCAACGTCACATTTTGCAAAATACTGTTTTCTTTTTATCCTTTGAAAATATGTGCAAAATATCACAAAAAAATCTAATTTGCACATATTTTTTCTGAGTTTTTTCCCTTTGAAAAAGCCACTTTCTTGAAATTTGGATGATTGTGCATAACCTGCTGGGGGAGAGGCCCACTTATCACCATGTGAGCAGCAACTTAAACCTCACTTTAGTTTAAAAGGTTTGTTCCTTTTACACCTACTACGTTTAGAAATATATATTTATAATCTATAACTCACCAAATGTCTTTTCCCCCCAAACAACACTTCTTCAAACATTAGCAAAGTATTGCAATAAGACTGTGGAATATTGTCAAGAAGCTCCATCCAGATGGGACACCTGTCAATCATCCCTGGACCCCGGGGGGGGGAAGCACAGGTGTGAGGGGTTCTCGGAAGCTGATATGCAAACAAGGAAAACGGGACCCCTTGGTGGCTGGCGCAACTCATTATTATTATCTTTACCTGGGGATAAGTTGTTTTTATCATCTCTCTCTCTCCCTTAAATACCTCTTGTAAATAATTTTTATTGAAGAACTAAAAGGTAAATACCCTTTATAATAAATTAATTATTCCCAATTTTGCCCTTGCTTTATTTATCTCCGCGACAATATATATATGTTGTAATATATTCCAATATATATCTATGTCTCCATGTGTTGTATAGATGTAGTGTAATTGCCAAAGTGTCAAATAAAATCGAGCAAGTTAGTCGGTGCCGGAAAGCCGGAAAAGGGTCCGAAAAACAAGTCGGGTATGCCCCCTTCTTACGCAAACAAATTAGTCCGCTTCGAGACACACGATTTACAGACCCCTCTAGACAGTTCTCCCCTGACCGGCGTCGGCTACACTCACTCTCTCGCCATCTCCGTGGTGACATCTACCATGTCTCGTTCTTTGGTGCAATACATTCACGCCTGAACCCACTCTAACATTGAGGCCACAACGACTGCATTTAACCAACACACTACAGTCATCCTTCAGGATCGACTACCTTACTACAGAGAGTCGACAGGATTACCTACCAAAGACAAGATTTCAGAAGATGGAGAACCAGGCAAGGAGTGACGCCACCTTGGAGGGAAATGCCACGCCTTCAATCGCGACCGACATCGTAGCGCAGTTGGCAGCAGCTCTTCGCGACATCGTAAACCCCAGCCAAAGAGATCTACCCCGGTACGATGGAACGTACCCCGCCACCAATTTCTTCAAGCAATACGACGACATCGCCGACCACGCCTACCTGACAGGGACGGAGAGCCTCCAAAAACTTCCGGCACAACTCTCAGGTTCACCCCTTACTTTTTTTCGCCAACTTGACTTAGCCAATAAGTCCTACGACCAGGCCAGACAAGTCTTAATAGACCTGTACCCCGGCACAGTAGAAGTTTCCTTTTCCAAATTTGTAGCATTGAAGCTAACTCCTCTGTTAAATTATTTTTTTGTGTCCGTGATTTTATTTTGGTTGACGTTTAGGATATTTTATTTTTAATGATCTGGCACTCTTGTTATTACTCTTCTTGTTGTTTGTTGTAAAAAAGGCTTACCCACATTTTTTTTCTTTGAAGATAATTGTTTTTAAAATGTTCAATTAAACATTTCCTTAATAAAACTCTGCTAATTATTTAACAAAGGTTATGGCCAACATAACAGAAGACGGTAATTATAAATAAAAAGTTTCTTTGTTTTTGCAAATCTCACCATCGCTTATTGCGCAATCTTTGAAGACGACGCCAATTGCATTTTTGGAAAACAAAGACGATTTGCCTATCCTTTTTTTTGAAGAAGAAGAAACATCTTTTGGGGTAAATATACTTCTTGAATATCTTTTTTTTTTTACAATGAGTTCAGAAGACTTTAAAATAACGAAATTAAATGGTGAAAATTACCATGCTTGGTCTATTAGGGCTAAGGCTACCCTAATACAAAAAGGTGTATGGGAAGCGGTTGATCCAGGTTTTGACGAAACTCTAACTGCAGCTCAGAAGAAAAATAACCAACATTGCAATATCACAGATTTTTTTAATTGTAGAAGACGAATTTTTAGATGATATTGGAGATTGTGAAAGAGCAAGTGAAGCATGGAATATTTTAGAAGAAATACACACCAAATATGGATTGCTTCACATTCTGCAATTACTGAGAGATATATTTAATATCACAAAAATGAATGAATCAATGAAAGATTATATAGCAAGGATAATGAACATCCACAGAAAACTGGAGAAAGGAGGACATGGTTTCAAGGATACAGAATTGGCACTCATAATGCTAATGGGGTTGCCCAAGACCTATGAACCAATGATCCTGAATTTGGAACAAAATGAAGAAAAACCTTCAACGAAAATAGTCAAGGCTAAACTGTTACTAGAAGAAAAGAGACAACTCAGACATGACACCATTGAAGAAGAAACCACATCAAGGGCCTTTGTGATCAAGGAAGAAAAACAGCCAACTTTCCATGAAAGAAGAAAGTATCATCCTGCAGGGAAAACCCAAGAAGCTAGCACATCCCACAATTATCAGAATACTCAAGCCAAAGCTGTCAAATGTTTTTGCTGTGGCAAAATGGGACATATAGCAAAGAATTGTAGATTCAACCCTGCAGTAAAGGAAAGATTTTGTTTCACTGAAAATAAAGAACAAGCGAAGAGGTTGCTTTCTAATCCTGATAAAATATCAAAACAAAAGGCATTTTTCTTCAGGGAAATTACTTTGGCCAGGGAACAACCAAGCCGGCTTTATAACATGCCGCTGAGATTCTTCAGCACCCCTAGACTGCCTCGCCATACAGATTCAAGTGTGCCATCGCAACCCCCGTCACCATGCCACTACTGTCGGGGAAACCACTGGAATGCCCAGTGTCCGCGCCAACAACCTTCTGGTCGAAACAATGTGTTTTACAAAGAAAATACGGGGCGTCAGCCGAGGACATCTCACTCCACCACCAGTTCCCAGCCAGCACGGTCATCTGACACCACAGTCCAGACCACTCCCCGAAGCGAGGAAATAGGTAATTTTCGTTGTCCTCCATAATTTAATATTTAAACTGGGACTATGCAGAAAATGTTGTTTACTGTTCTTGGCAGATACAGGAGCTTCGGTCAATATAATTAATAGAACAATACTTGCCTTTCTTGAAAACAATTTAGGTTGTACTTTTAAACATATGATGACAATGTTACTCTTAGTTCTGTTTCCAATGACATTTCCACAATGGGATTTTTATATTTAAATGTCACTACAGGCTGTTTAACTAAATTAACAAAATTTTATGTTATAGATTCCAAATTACCATTTGGCATATTATCTCTTAATACATTAAGCAATTTCAAATTGAAAATAGATTTATGTAACTTTTTGATCTTCCAAAACGAAGCTCCCCTGCCACCTACTGTGTACTATTTTTCGCTTGTGAACGACTCATGCAACTATGGTAAATGCCTTGAAAATTCCAACAAAATGGCTAACCTTGCCACCTATCAGCACAACCCATCGATGCATGTGTCGGACCCTTCTAGGCATGGTCTTAGCTATATGTCTCCTTCACATGAAACCATTTCTATTTGTGACTTCGCCTCGCCCAAAAAACATGTTGATATGCCACAAAGAACGTTTTTAATGATTGCATTCCTAATTATAGTAATCATGTAGGTCAGATGCCCATATCCCAGTCTTGTTCAAATTCCAACAACCCTTTAAGCTTTTTAGATATAATTAATAGATATTCTCATATTTTTTCTAGTAACAAATTTGATGTACCTAAATTGAAGATACCCCCAGTTAAGATTCATACTATGTCCGATAAAATTATTGATTTAAGACCTTATCGTGCTTCTCTAGTTGATCAACGAGAAATACAAGAGCAGGTCAACCAAATGCTAAAATTTGGTATAATAGAACCTTCTTTTTCTCCTTATGCTAGTCCAGTCACTCTTGTAACTAAACCTGTACCAACATTCATCACACAATTTTCAATTTTAACTTTTTTTTTTTTCAGCTTCAATTTTTTAAATCCAAATTTAAGATTTTCAAATTCAAATTTTAGAAAATGCCTCGACACCATTACCCTCCAAATTCTCATGGCATCACAGCCCATACCTTCCCAGAGAGATCGTTACTATCCGCCAAAACTTTGATTTCTCACAATGATTCATCTTAACTACAAACGCTTCTTCGCTGTACCCTTCTCAACAGTCGAACTTGAGCAGCTAGTTAAATGTTTTTTTTTTTCATACACGGCCCAGTTCGAGCATCAACACCCCCCCCCCCCTTTTTTTTTTTCTCTCATATTCTGGCAATTCTTTTTTTTTTTTTTTTTCAATCAACTCACTTTCACTACTGCCTTACCGCGGCCAAATCTTTTTTTATGCGACTCTCTCTCTCTCTGCCCCACTCTCTATCACTCTTTCTCGACCAAAGCTTCCAACAACCATTCCCAAATCCGTCTGATAGGACAACCCATATCGAATACCTTCAGCATACTGTAGATGGACCAATGCCTACAATCCCATAACGTCGCATTGCATCGCAGTACCAGAATCTATTCTATGTCCACCTATCTAGACTTTTTAAATTAGCTCATCCAATAATTCAATGCACTTTCAAATATTAATTCCAACATTCAATGCTGTATATAATCACCCAAATTTATATTTATATCTTTACATTTAAAAAAATCCTTTTTCATATATTTTTATACATTGGGCTTAACATTATTATTTGTTAACATTTCTCTTTTTATTATTAAAGAAAACATACCCAATGTTATAATTCTACAACCCCATAATATATCAAACCAATTTGTATATAAATTATTTCCCCCCATTATAATTATCTTATGATTTCATCTATAATCACCATAAGCTAATTTTCATCAACCAGGGCATAAACTGTTGTGATATATTCCAATATATATCTATGTCTCCATGTATTGTATAGATGTAGTGTAATTGCCAAAGTGCCAAATAAAATCGAGTAAGTTACAGTCAGCGCTGGAAAGCCGGAAAAGGGTCCGAAAAACAAGTCGGGTATGCCCCCTTCTTACGCAAACAGATTAGTCCGCCTCGAGACACACGATTTACAGACCCCTCTAGACAGTTTTTCCCTGACCGGCATCATGTCATCTAGTTGCCAGCTAGCTCTCTACCTGGTCACATCTCTGCTCCCTTGCTCTAGCCATGAATCCTGCCAAGAAGAAGAGGAAGAAAGCTTACAAGCCTATCGTGGATGTCGCTGCCCTGGAGAAGGAGGATAAAATGGTGATCTCCCGCAACCACCATATCCTGCGCTCCATTGGCCATCCCTCCCTCAAGACACTGCATGAAGACCTGATCAGCTTCATCGCGATGTGGACTGAGCTGATCAAGGCCCTCCTTGCTGAAGTGGAGAACCTCACTGGCACCCTCGATGCCTTCGCGGAGCTGGACGACGTCATGGAGGACAAAAAGCCCCAGACTGCCTGCCACAGCACCCAAACCAGCCCAGCTCCTTCCTGCAAGGACACCTGCTCCCAGACTGACCCAGTCAAGCCCGCCACTCCTGCTGCTCTCCCAACGAAAAAGCCTGCCCCCAAGTTGCCTGCTCCTGCTCCAACAAAAAGGAAGCAGCCTGAGGCTCCCAAACCGCCTGCAAAGAGGACCAATTTGCAAGGTCCTTCCAAGCCTGCGCCTTCCCTAGTCTCCAAGCCTGTAGCCGCCCGAGTGACCCTCCATGGAGAAAAATCGGCGGCCCACATTGTGGTTATTTCAGATAACCCGCAGGCTGACCCAAGGGAGATGCTGAAAGCAGTCCGTGTTGCCCACACTCTCCCCCAGGGCGTCTGGAAATCCCTGCGCACCAAAGGGAAGCTGGTACTACATTCCAGCAACCCAGACACCATCCCCGCAGTTACAACCTCCCTCACCAACAAGCTGGATAGAATGAAGGTCCGCCAGCAGAAGGAGATCCTGCCTCACATCTGCCTCTTCAGAGTGGACGAGGAGACAACCAACTCCACCATTGAAGAGACCTTCCTGGAGACACCTGTTGTTAGCCAACTCCCTGGGGACAAGGTGGTGCGCGGGGCGCACCGTTCTGCACCCAGAAACGGGACCTGCACCACCTTCATCGAGCTAGACCTCAAGACCTTCAGAGCCCTGGGCGTGCGCAGGAGGATCATGGTGGATGGAGTCATCCTCAACTTCGAGGAATCCATCCGCGGCCGTGTCTGCTTCCGCTGCTGTGGCTTCGGCCACAACTCCGCACAATGCTCCAGAGCTCCAAAGTGCTTCCACTGCGGTGAAGACTGCCATGAAGGCCGCGCCTGTCCATCCATTGCCGACCAGCACACCTTCAAGTGTGCCAACTGCTGCGCCAAGGGCCTTCCTGACAAGCACGAGGCGAGAGCCTCAAGCTGCCCCATCCTGAAGTCTAGGGCCCTCAAGTTCTAGGCTTCCAGGACCTCCTGCCACCACCTTCAACTGCCACTTCTACTGGATTTCAAGCCATACCAAGACTCCTGCCTCACTGCACCCTGGCGCTGTTCCCCTGCTAGCTCAACGTTTCCTCCCTTTCCTCCCTGTGAGACATCTCCTGCCGCCAGATCCTAGGATCCCTTGCCACCTGACATCGCGTCTGCTGCCATGATGTGGGGTTAAAAGTCCATAACCAAATGTTATGTCCATTAAACCCAGCCCCCAAACTCTCTCCAATGCCATCTACAGAATCCCGTGTAATGACTGCCCACAATCCTATGTTGGAGAAACTGGCCGAACCATTGCCACTCGAGTCCTAGAACACGACCGTAACATCCGTTCTCACGATCGTAAGTCCCTATTATACCAACACAGCAAAATTTAGACATTCTTTTAATTTACGCAACACGATTCCGGTATATAGCGGTGTTAAGAACAAATATCAACGTTTGGTCCTTGAGACTTTCGTGTCCAGCTCTGTCCCTAGTTTTAACAGAAAAATAGATATCCCCCCCCCCCCCAATATACTGTTTTTTCTAATCTTTCTAATCTTGGCCACTGATATCTTTCTTTATTCCTTTATTATGCCTAGATACTTTCGTTTTCTTGTCTTTCCATCCTTTTTTCCCGTGCTTTACTTTTAATTCGCCTTATACAAATCTTTTAGTTTATTTCTTCAGAAATTTCGTACTTTTCCCTTTAGTTTCATATGTAAATTTCTTAATTTTTAAGTAGATCTTAGTTAGTTTTCTTTTATGCTAATTCATTGCATATAAATATTGGTTCACTCTTTCTAATCACGCATTGTACCTGATGAAGGGCAGCTGATGCCCGAAGCTTGTTGTGCGAAATAAAGAAACTTACCACGCTATTCACCTATTTCCTGTTTTAATCTATCAAGCGTGGCTATACTATGTCATAACCAAACTTGGACAATTAGCCCGAAACCAAATCACTCCCCTGACCGGCGTCGGCTACACTCACTCTCTCGCCATCTCCGTGGTGACATCTACCATGTCTCGTTCTTTGGTGCAATACATTCACGCCTGAACCCACTCTAACATTGAGGCCACAACGACTGCATTTAACCAACACACTACAGTCATCCTTCAGGATCGACTACCTTACTACAGAGAGTCGACAGGATTACCTACCAAAGACAAGATTTCAGAAGATGGAGAACCAGGCAAGGAGTGACGCCACCTTGGAGGGAAATGCCACGCCTTCAATCGCGACCGACATCGTAACGCAGTTGGCAGCAGCTCTTCGCGACATCGTAAACCCCAGCCAAAGAGATCTACCCCGGTACGATGGAACGTACCCCGCCACCAATTTCTTCAAGCAATACGACGACATCGCCGACCACACCTACCTGACAGGGACGGAGAGCCTCCAAAAACTTCCGGCACAACTCTCAGGTTCACCCCTTACTTTTTTTCGCCAACTTGACTTAGCCAATAAGTCCTACGACCAGGCCAGACAAGTCTTAATAGACCTGTACCCCGACACAGTAGAAGTTTCCTTTTTCAAATTTGTAGCATTGAAGCTAACTCCTGTTAAATTATTTTTTGTGTCCGTGATTTTATTTTGGTTGACGTTTAGGATATTTTATTTTTAATGATCTGGCACTCTTGTTATTACTCTTCTTGTTGTTTGTTGTAAAAAAGGCTTACCCGCATTTTTTTTCTTTGAAGATATTTGTTTTTAAAATGTTCAATTAAACATTTCCTTAATAATAAAAACTCTGCTAATTATTTAACAAAGGTTATGGCCAGCATAACAGAAGACGGTAATTATAAATAAAAAGTTTCTTTGTCTTTGCAAATCTCACCATCGCTTATTGCGCAATCTTTGAAGACGACGCCGATTGCATTTTTGGAAAACAAAGACGATTTGCCTATCCTTTTTTTGAAGAAGAAGAAACATCTTTTGGGGTAAATATACTTCTTGAATATCTTTTTTTTTTTTACAATGAGTTCAGAAGACTTTAAAATAACGAAATTAAATGGTGAAAATTACCATGCTTGGTCTATTAGGGCTAAGGCTACCCTAATACAAAAAGGTGTATGGGAAGCGGTTGATCCAGGTTTTGACGAAACTCTAACTGCAGCTCAGAAGAAAAATAACCAACATTGCAATATCACAGATTTTTTTAATTGTAGAAGACGAATTTTTAGATGATATTGGAGATTGTGAAAGAGCAAGTGAAGCATGGAATATTTTAGAAGAAATACACACCAAATATGGATTGCTTCACATTCTGCAATTACTGAGAGATATATTTAATATCACAAAACACTACAGGATCGACTACCTTACTACATATATATAGTCTAACCTTTGTTAATTCAACTGACGGCTAATTGGAAGCATTGTTGCATATTTGTTCACAAGAATCTCTCTCTCCTCCCAAAAATCCTGTTGGTATTGTCATTTTTAAAACATATTATAGCTATCTGAAAAGTGAGCTTTTTAGAATAAGAATTGATATTTTATAAGATATATTAACCCATAACTGGACGGGTTGGGTTGATTCCACTCAAGCATAAACTTGATATAGAAAAATATTTTTTTGTTGTTGTTTACTGAGAGCTACCAGCTGTATTCTAATATTTTACGGTGATACAAACAATTTTCATCTATCGTTTATAAATATCGATTTTGGGAGGAGGGATAAAAAAATCTCTATTTTTTTTTTTTTTATCTCAAGGTAAGACTTTTATTTTTGAAATTCATTTTATAATGGAAGATGAAATTTTAAATAAGAATTTTGACGATGATTCTAAAACTGAAGATTATTCATTGCAGGAATCTTCAGATGTCAGTACAGATGAGGAATGTGATTCAATCTGGAAACATCTGGAATTCAACAAAATTTGCGAATTACACAACTTCATCCCACCTTCCCTCAGGATCAAGGACCCCGTTGGAAACTATTACTCAAAAATGGCAATAGATGATATTCATATCAAATTACTACGAGCCCGCACTAAAGGATGTTACTCAAAAATTCGCATTTTATCAAAAACTGTCAAAGAACTTATTTGTATAGTTTCACAACATATCCCAGCACGAAATATGGCAGATTTACTGGTAGGGATTACCAGTGATATAAAAACTCAAGACTCCATGCTTAATGTCAGGCATCTCAACAAGCTCTCATTTTGGTCCAAGAAGTATAAAGTGCACCTGTCTCCCCAGAATCAGCAACAGTCAATATTGAATTTATCTAACTTTGTACCTTCCTCTGATCAAATCAACATACTTTCGAAGGGCCTTAAACATAGATATCCATCAAAACTTGACAAAATCTCATTAATAGCAGGAATAGAGTCATCCATTACAAGCCTGAACCTGCAAGATAAACACTCCATTAGGAATCACGTTATATCCGTTTTGAATAGATCTACATACACACCAACTAACAGTTTTAATACCAATCAGATTACCAGAACATTATCTAAAAATAATAACATAGTCATCACAAGATCTGACAAAAGATCTACAAGTAATTGTTTCATTGGGGAAAATGGCTATAAGTGGTGTGGAATAATGGAGATCCACTTCTGACAGCGACGGCTCAGGTGACTAAACAAACAAGCCCAGCCAGCAATAAAAAAGGAAGGGGGAGCATCCAGCCTGGCCTGTTGCTGACCCAGTTGGGTGTTTTCCTCTGTCCTCTTAACATGTTTTAATAAAGTTAGTTTGAAGGAGACTTTTACCCTCTCCTTTCTGCTATTTAGTGATCTGATTTAAATCCTTGCAACAGCCCACAAAAGAATCATCACTGCGAATTCTTCTACCGAACTCGCATCAGTGTTTTGTGAAATGATTACCCGACTTTTTCTTCACAAAGTGGCGTCCCCGCGGGTGGGCTTCTGACAAGGCAAGATCAAGTGGATTGAACGGCGGAGTACAAGTCAAGACTCAAGATAAGTACCTCTTGTTTTACCTTCTGTTTATAGTGTTTTTTGAAAAATGGAAATTTTAAAAAGGCATAGAAGTTTACTTAGGAAGCGACTAACTCGCATCTTGACGACAGAAGAGTTTCTGTCAAGTACTCCACCGATACCTGTAGAGGACATTCAAATTAATAGAGAGATCATTGAAGAAACTCACAGTGAGCTTCTTGTGATCCAAAGCAAGATAAGAGACTTCATGCTAACTTCAGACGTTAGCGAAGAGGAACTAGAGCAAGACAATGAGGAAGTGTTGAAGAGTGAAAGCAAGACGACACGTGACGTCATTTTAGTTCCTGGCGCCACCGCCTGGAGGAGCCACAGACAAAAAAAAGAAGCCACCCTAATCTTCCCCATGTAGTTGTTTTGTTTTGGTATAACGTCTTATCTTTTACCTAATAAATACTTACTTTAAATACATTTTCTCCTCTTTTATCTGCTTACCACAAAAGGTTATGGGCCCAGCACGCTTCCACTGCGCGGAATAAAAGAAGAAAATAATTAAATAAAGCAAGTAAATGAATATTCAAATATTTCTTCCTATTGACGACGCCATAAGCTCGCAACTAGGCTTAAGAAATTACCCCACGTTTTGAAAATTTTCTGTAATAGTGTAATATCGTTTCAAAATGTCGGATAGGTTTGAATATATGGTAAATAAGTTTGATGGGACAAATTATCAAATTTGGAAATACCAAATAGAAATAATTTTACGTCAACAAGGATTATTGGATTTAGTGGAAGGCATAGATGTTAAGCCTGAAGAAGAATCCCAAAAGGTAGCTTGGAATAAAAGGAATGATAAAGCAATGGTCATAATCTCGACGGCCATTGTTTTCAAGCAATTGGAACATCTAATTACATGTGATACTGCTCAGAAACAGTGGACAAGGCTCAAGTCCATTTATGAGCAGAGATCTACACTACAAGTTTGCTGGCTATTCAACAACAATTTTATAGCTATAAAATGAATGAAAAGGATGCTATGTCAAAGCACATATCCAAAATTGAAGGGTTGATTAAACAGCTCTGTCAACCGAGTCAACACCAAGGCTAGAGACGAGGACAATGCCACGCCGCTGCACCGCGCGTCACTCTCCAGGGCCACCATTGTGGTGCAACACCTGCTGGAGTTTACAGAGATCATTGAAAGACAAAACGAGAACCTTGCACTGCACTGTGCTGTTGAAATGGGCCATCTGGACATTGTTAAATTGCTCCTGGCCAAAGGTAGGTGTTGTATCACACAGGAGCTGTTGTTGCTCTGTAGGGCTGTTGTTGCGCTGTGTATGGTGGAATTGGCCTAGAAATGTCTTCAAACATGTGGGTTACTCACTTCTATGATAGAAGCTTAGGTTTATGTCCTGTCAAGTCAATTTTGATAGACAATGGTGGTTACTCAGAATTGTTGCTGTCTTTCATCAGATGGTTCACTCACAGGAAGTATCACAGTAACTATAAATGAAAGTACACTTCTCCCATCAAAATAGACACTGAAACTATGCACCACCTATTGCTAGGTTCATTAAACTCTTTATTTCAACTGACTGTGGTACAAGTCGTGGACTCCCATACATGAGAGTAGATGGTCTGAGGTTGCCTCCTCCTTTTTGCAGATGGTGCATGTTGGGAAGATCCTAACTCTGCCACAAGGAGATAATACAAGGAAAGACCTTAAAGAGAGTCGAAGAACTACATGAATGGTGCACTCCATCATGTACTTTTAAGTTTTTACAAGAACCTCCTAGTGTCTACTAATTTAGTGTCTTGAACAGCACTGATTTATAATCTACAGAGTTGCTACTTATTGGTATCCACAGTTTTGGAAGGTGTCCCTCCACCATTCCTGAAGTCAAATGTCTGTTGCTGTGACTAAAGGAAGTACTGCTGCAGCCCAGCACAATCAAGCCAACGAGCCGCGCGTGGACTACATCTACCCGCTGCATATCGCGGCCCGCGCTGGTCATGTGGAGGTGGTCCGAGTCCTGCTGGACCATGAAGCCAACGCAGCCTGCCTCACAGTGGGGCAGGACACTCCGCTGCACCTGGCAGCCGCCTTCAACCACGGAGCTGCCATCTTTCTCTTACTGGAGAGGTAAGTCTCCATCTTGAATAAGGCACAATTTGATTTAACACAAACTGAGGGATTAGAATTTTTAAATTGAATTCAAGTCAGTTTGGAATTAATATTTGGCAAAGATGATGGGTTTGGTGGAGGATTGAGGTATAAACTGTCAATTTTCAACAGCCAAGATCTCAGATGGAATCCAGCTTTGGACACTTTTTTTTTAGGGGAGAAAAAATTGTGCTTTTTTATGGAATATTCAACAAGTTCTTGAGCCTTAACTCAGGCCATCTAAAGGAGAGGATGAGGCAATATTTGAAGACATGTGATCCCTATGCTGCATTGTGCTGAAGGAGGAATGTTGTTGCCAGAGGTGCAGAGCTGGAAGCCCGCAACAACAACCATCTGACACCACTGCTTGTTGCCGCCATGGAGGGCCACTGCGATGCCTTGAAGACCCTGATAGAACATGGATCTTCCCTGGAATTCTTGGACAAGAACGACCAGTCTGCCATTTTCCTCGCTGCACAGGAAAATCATCCTCAAGCACTCAGGGTACTCTCTCTGTTTTGGTTGGTTGGCAGTAGGATTGATGAAGGGTTCAAAACATGTTTTGTCCAAGTTCCTATTTGAATCCATCTCTCTCCACGCGTCATGATTTTTTAAATAAATCTTTGTCTTCAAATGTATCTTAATTTTCTGTTTTCTATTTGTGCATATTTGAAAAATT